GCCATGATGGAAGCCGCTGCTGCTGTTGCTGCTGATCACACGAGTCGAGGATGACAATGTCGACAATGTTTGGTCACGAGAACGGCCACATTGATCAATCATTAATGATGATGGTGACGAGGGCGGAGACGGCCTTGCTGACATTTGTTGTTGATGATGATGATGATGGTGATGATGATGATGATGATGGCGATGCTTACGAGGATGTATGAGCGCGACGATGGCAGTCCTGGCAGTGGCGATGGTGATTGCGGTGCTGTGACTTTGAAGAAACTGTTCAAGATGCTAACGATGATGCCGGAGAAGGCTACGCTGAAGAGGAGGATCACATTGGCATTCATTGCTGTTGGTGCATATGCGCATTCAGCCGCAGGGCGTGAGGTAATTGGATCGGATGAGTTCAAGCAGCGGAGAACTTATAGATTCGGCTACTGTAGACCTTACAAGAACTTTTTCCTGTGGTAGTGCTTCGTAGTCTCTCAAAGGATTTGCAACCATATTCCAAGGATCTGCGTGTCGACGTTACTTGTTTCTCATGTGATGTTGCCTCCTGTTACAAAACATAGTAGAACACATCAGCCGAGTATAAAAACACTGCGTCGAGCATGGAGTTTGGTCGCGGTTGCCGCCTGTTTTCGTCCGTGCGGAAGAAAACAACATGTCTAAGGCAATTCTCAGGTACCCGGAAGTGTTTTGAATGTGCTTGAAGTTGTCATAGAAGTAGTTGTCATCGCGGATTCAATGTGTGACCATGTTTGTGCAAATGTGTAGGTTAGCAAAACCGTATGGCGGCCTTGTGAGATGCATCCTGAAACGATCCAGCTGCACTCCAAAGCTTCAATATCTTAGGCCTCTCCTGAAGCAGCTTGCAGATGTCCACAAGCCTTCCGCGGATGCCATACGAGCGTCAGGAGCTGGCAAGGTTAACACAGGACCCATGCTATGAGAGTTTTACCTGCAGCCCTTTGGGCATGCAGATTCCGTTTGGCGAGTGCAGTTCAATTGACCGCGCGTAAGCGTGTCCGTAGTCGTGGTGATGTAGCAGTTGATGTAGCTTGCAGCGCATAGTACATGAACCGGCCGGTCAGCTTGCACGAAGTCTGCAGAAATGCTGCCATCGTGATCAGCAGGCAAGAGACCGGCGACGAGCAGGACTTTTTTGCTGGGGCCTCCCTGGCCAATTTGTAGTTTTCCCGGCATGCGAGTCGTGTAGTGGTGGGTTTGGTTTCTTCCTGCACATTTCAGCTTTGAGGCCTGAACCCATTCTAACTCGCAACCGGCGCCCTGTTGGTAAATCTCAGGGCTTGGAGTTTTTCCACATTCGCAAAGATCTTGGAGTCCAGCTGCTTGCAGTTGAGGGTTGTGAAAATCGGAAATCATCTACATCATTGACATTGTATGTATTTCGGAACTCAGTTGCCAGCAGGAAGAGCAACAGATCCTTGCACTCGAAACGCCTCGAGCTGCAAGTCCTCGACTGAAACAGCTTGATGACTAAACCACGAAGTTCCAGAACAGGCCCGTCAAACGTCAGGGATCCCTGACCGCAGCATAGCGGCATAGCACCAACATGCATGCACCTGCTATATACTACTTCCCAAAGCTCTCACAACCTTGAACTTGCAGCTGAATAGGCTGTGACGCGGCTGTGACCGATCGTTGGGCAGGTCGTCCGACAGATCCAGAGAGATTACTCCATGCTAAGAGCCGGCAACGCCTCCTGGATTCTGTGGTTCTCTACTCAGCGACACTGTGTTTGGTTTTGGAACGTCAGCACTAGCCGCACCTTCGCTATTGTTCTGGGCACCACTGTGGAGAGTTCTATCGGTGTCATCATGGCAGCGTCATCTCACCACCACCAGCGGCACCATCATCACCATCATCATCATCATCATACTTGTCATCATCATCACCATCGCAACCTTGCAATCATCAGTAGTTGCCATCATCGTCGACATAATCGTCATCATCACTGCAATGTCCACAACCCGGATTGATACCACTTCATCTTTTGCAGATTCTTTGTCATCATGTCGATATCGGCCATGGCCGCCTGCGAGTAAGTTGCGAGTAAGCGTGGGGTTGCAGGTTGGCTTGCAGTACGGTCATCTAACAGGGGGTGCTGATGCACGAACATAAATCCACTTGGGAAAGGCCCATTTCGCACAACTTCAAGACCAGAAGAGAGACATGCAATTTGACCCTAAACCCCAAATCCTGAACCGTTCACCCTAAGTAAGCCCCAAGCCCCAACAGGCCTCCTGCGGCTTGCCGGCCTTCAGGTTTCATTCAGCGCAGGTCTTCCCAAAACCGAAGGAGTTGAGACGGGCCGTCCAAATCAGGGTCCTTCTGTTGGATCCTACTAGGCCAGGTCCAACTGCTTTTTTCAGAGAGGTGTTGATTAAACAGAGGTCTAGCGCACTGCACATAGCGATCGTGTTGCTCAGGCGCCTTGTTGACGTAACCATCGACGAACTCTCGCCGATCCTCTCCGCGCCAGAACCCCGGGGCAAGGGTCTGCTTAGTTTGGCTCGGTTTGAGTTTTCGGTTTATGGGTCTTGGGCTTGGGCAGGAGGCATTTCCGCTCGACTTGACTCAGATTCTTCCACTGGAGTGATTGGCATCGGATGCACTTTCTACTTAGTGATACCTTTGGTTTTTCGGAGAATGTGACATACAGACATATTTTTAAGCCGGCATATGTTCGATGCGGCAATCGGTTCATGAAACTCAGTGGTGATCTTCACAAATCTGGATCACCTGCCGGAGGTCCCCAACTACGTAGGCTATCTTGTGGTAGAAGACTTCATTGAAGACTTGCAGCAGTTGAAGCCACAGCCTCCCTCGGTCCCAAAAACTGCAGCATGGGCGGAGGTGTCAGCATTCTTTGGTGATCTGCACTGTCGAAGACATGGCAACGCACTTCTGTCTAGCTCCTTGCGTTTGTTGCAAGCATTTTGAGGGATCCACGCATCCCAGACCAAGCTTGAGTGTTGACGATTTTAAACTTCGCTCCGCGTCTTCAGGATGGCCTTCACAGACAGAGGCACCCACTTTGCATGGATTTAGGATTTCGTTCTTATCGCTTAGAATTGAGTTGAAGGCCCAAGCGCTAATCTACACCGTTAGTGACTCCAACATCCCTCGAAGACTCCGACCTCGAGCACCCTCGACGCGTCGTCAGCTTTGGATGCAGCCTTTGACCCTACACCCGAACCCCTTGAGATCTCCACCCTGAACCCCGCAACGTCCAAAAACCTTGCCAGCATTGCACCCTAAGCCCCACGAACAACGCACTAAACCCTAGAGTCGAAGAGGCAAGCAACTCTTTGAACCCTAGGTACAGAGCCCAGCTCCGGTGGTTTTCCAGCATTGGCCTCAAAGAGCCGCAGGGTTTTGGGGATCAGGGATCCAGGGTGCATTGTTTCAGGCTTGAGGGGTTAGGATGCCTTTAGTGTTGAATAGAGGATTTAGCGTCTCTTCGGGATCAGGGATTTCGTGTTTCTGATACCGTTCAAGATGTAGCGTCCAGCGTGCATTCTGTCACTTGGGTTCAGGGTCTTTGGTATTTGACGCTTAGTGTAGAGGGTCTTACTGCATGGTTCAGAATATTGGTCTAGGGTCTGATTCACTCGGGCACATGGGCTGTCAACTAGTTGGATGTCTCGAAGATTATTTGCAGTGGCCGTACTTCAGCCCTACATATCAGGACCGCGAATCCTCAAGCAAAGTTCCGTCAGGCCTGATGTTTCGAGGTACAGAGTTGGTTTTGGAGTGATGAGCTTTCGAATATACTGAAGTTACCAAAACGTGCTCGGCGCCTCGCCGGCCGGAATGACCAGTTGAACATCCACAGTCCCGAAACCCTCTGCCACACATGCAATTCCGCAGAGCGTTAGTCATGGCGTGACATTGGCATCGCCTGGAACATGTGAATCAACGAAAATTGCCCCTCTGCCATCACGCTCTTGCAATCTGCCCCGGACCCTCACACGACAGGACCCTAAACCGTAAACCCCCAGAAAGCTCGCACGGCATCTTGCTACCCCAAAATCTCCGAGCGGCTCAGGTCTGATCACCACTCAGGAAGCGCGCGTCTCCAAAGACGTGGCGACTCGGCTCATTGCTTGTGGCAAAGAAGCCCCAAGCACCACATCTCGCCAAATCCCTAGGTACATCCGTAAAGGAGGTTCCACTGAATGACTCCCGCACGATCTTGTAGAATGATCCTGTCGGTATACAGTTCAAGGTGAGTGCGCACACCCTGGAAGATTGGTTGAGGAGCCCTGAGGTGCAAGGCTCGAAGACAGTATCAGGTCCGCAAAGCACAACCCTCGTTTGAAGGTGTATCAGGATTTCTCCACGGTTTGAGGAAGTTTCCTGGTCAAATCAATCCAAAGAGAGCAAAATCTGAGGAGAAGCGACTCCTGCGAAGCAAGGCCGTCAAGAAGGGTCTTCGGGCTTAAGGGGGACTGTTCAGCTTCAGAAAGGCTTGAGGATCGGGATTTTCGAGGTTCGGGTTTGCGATTTTTCGGTTGAGTTTTTCGGTAATAGGTTTAGGCTTCATGTCGGTCGTCGATATCGTTCAGTGCAAAAACTGCGACCTGTCAACCGTGAACGCTGATCTTAGGAGGGAAAGATGCTCTTTTTTTTGTCAAGCAATCTCGCAAGTCTAAAAGGCAGACTAGTGAGGGATGCAACACCGCATAGTGGTTTCATTTCTGGGTGCTGGGCAAGAAGCCGGCCCACCTTTCCACCCCTGACGGCAGAGGTCCCAACAATGTGCTACATCAGCCAGTGCCATTTTTGGGCTTCGGCGCTTCTGCGCTCCAAAGCCTACACCAAGTCATGACCAAAAATCAATCTCTCACCTCCCCTGGCTTCTGCCCCGAGTGTCCTGAAGCCTGCAGATTACAGATTGCCGCACGGCTATCTTTGGACGGGGTCTTAGGGTTGGTGGAGTTGGGTCCCCCAAGCCGCAAGAGGGCGAGCCCTGGAAGGTCGAACTTGACTGGGTCCAGCGCAAGGTGCGTCCCATCTTGAAGGTCTTGAAGCATCTGATCAAGGACAAGGCAACTCCGGAGCTTAAAGGTTTAGTGGATCAGGCTTCGGGGTTCAGAGGGCTCATGGGGTCAAGGGATCTAGGGTTTAGTGGTTTATGTAAGTTCGGCTTGGGGTTTCACCTGCTGGTTCTGCTGTCAAAGCACGTGCAATCTCCACGAAGTACAAGTCGTTTCACACCATCAGCCTCAGCAATTCTCGAATCCTCCGAACTATATACATGAACCACATGCAGGGTGATATAAAGCAACATCCCAATCGTTTCACATGTTGGGCCTTGTATCCTGAGATGCCCACTGATCATACCCGCGCATCAGGTGTTTGTGGTTTACACAGCTTTGTCGCAGAGTAGTTTGCGATTTTGACGCAGGCTTTGTTTGCTTTCGCGCAGGTCTGTTGCAAGATCCTGGAACAACTGTGCATATAGTGGATGTAAAAGTATACATATACCTGTACCTTGTACATGGACATATACATTGTACACATCATATACATGTACATGCTCACATGCATATCCCATGCATGATGCTCGTACATACAACGTACGTATACATGCACATATATGTCTGCAAATACAGATATGTAATTACAAATGTACGTTGGCACAGAGTATATACATACATACATACCTACCTACAGACATACATACATACAGACAGACAGACATGCATACAGACATACATTCATACATACATTCATACATACATACATACATACATAAAAGCGTATATACGTGTACATAGTCACATATGTACATACTATATATATATATATGTATATGTATATGTATATGTATATGTATATGTATATATATGTATTTACTCCTACAGGTACACCTGTTCACACATATATGTTTACATGGAAACGCAAGTCTACGTATGTCATGTACACATAATACACACTCACTTGGTTGCAGTACATGCGTCTGCATGTACCGATAGATATAGGTGGATGCATGCGTGGACAATGATATGCGTATACAATCGGCGAATTTACAAGGCTAAAGATCATGATCTTATCCATGAAGAGACGGCAGCTGTCAAAATCCATACAAATCACAACAGTGACGAGCAAGGCATCTTTTCGGTCTCACTATGATGTCGCAAGCTGGACCGGCTAGCACTTCTCGAGAAACGTATATTCTTATCACAGCAGTGCCGAGTATGGCTGACTGCAACCCGCGAGGGTGAGTGGCGCATCTTTTCAGTACGAGTATTATGTCGTATACAGGCCCGACTATCAGCGCTGTGTTTATGTTTGCTAGTCTTGTGAGGCTACAGGACGTAAGTTGCTGCTGTGACGGTGGTGGCAAAACCAGTAAGTAGTAGCATGATGACTGCTTTCTTTCCTAGACTTACCATTGTTGCGGTTTGCTGGCATGGTTATGCAGCCGAACGATTATAATCATGACTACTTGTTGCGTCTGAAGTCTGAATTCTTGACGGCCGTGGGAAGGCCATCGACCCGGACGTTACCAGATATCTTGAAGATGTTGAGGATCACCTCAACCTTTTCCTGGAGGAGGCAGGTTCTACGCTAAGGTTCTCCCTCATGCGAAACCCATGATGCGTCTGCCCCCGCGCATCTTCTAGGCAAGAGCAGCTTAAGATGTCACGGCTTGACAGGTTCAGGGAGTGCGAGCTTTCGGCGTTAGGATCTTGGAGGTTCTTCCAGCTTCCCATTCAATCTCCAAAGGCTGTTTCAGCAAGAACCATGCAGGCAGCTTATGTCGAGAAATGAATCTAAATATTTTATGCAACTCCTTAGCCAGATGATCCACAGTTGCTCACAAGTAGCTAACGAAGTTCCGTTTGTCGTGATCCTGCTTGCCCCAGCCCCTGTATAATACTTTGTCAAGAGCCTTTCCAAAACCCACACAACAATCTCTCATAGACCTGTGTGCGCAGGTAAGCCGCATCATCGGAGTGTGCAACTCCTTGCGGGATGAGGTGAACTCCTACAGGGACCGCCAACAGCAAAAGGCCGGACCAACCACACAATCGTAGTATTCGAGATTCCTGAACCATCTCAACACGAAAGCACGAATCTACTCTAAGTGTAGACGTACGTGTGTGTATGTGTATGTGTTTATATATATATATACACATACATACACATGTATATCAATACTACATGTACTATACATTTGTGTATGTCAGTATGTATACAAACACATGAACAGATACTCATAGTTTCATACATGCACGAACCTGTTGGAGGCCGTCGCGTTTCGTGGGATCAGGGTGTTGTTCAATGTAGAATTCCCCCGCTGCCCAGCGCATTTGCTTTCCATCAACCTGCACCAGTCCTGACGCCAAAAGCCCAAACCCCGAACCTCTCATCCTTAACCGCTTTCTGCAGGTGCTTTACGTGTTGACCTTGGTGACGACCCTAGTGATGCCCACACATCTCCTCACGGGGATCTTCGGCATGAACTGGATTGACGAGGCCTGGCGACGGTACATTTGGAACCTTGAGGCTCAGGTCTTTCAGGGTTTAGAGGCTTCAGAGATGGTTGAAACGCTGAGTAAGTTTACTTTGGGGTTAGAATATACGAAGAGTAGCAGCAATACTGCTGAGGATGAGGTCCTGCATCAGCTCCAGTACTCCAAGCTATCGGGTCCTCCTTATCTTGTGGAGGATGTTGGTGCGTTTGTGCACCAACCCTGTCGTGAAGCCGAAACATAATTCCCTAAGCTGGCCATAGGCCCTTTAAAAGTCTGTTGGTTGGTGGTGCACTGGGCCCACGACATGTTCGGCGTCCTTGAAGCAACCCTGCACTGTGTTCCGATCAACCAACGCTCTCAACCCAACCCCAAGCCCGGCCGGCATCAAAACCCAGTTGCTTCACTGCGCAACACCCGAGACTCCCACCATACGACGCAAGAGCCCAGCCCCTTCAACTCGAAAGCCAAAGGAAACAGTAAAAGTAAGGGCCCATTCCAAAAGGAGGGACAGCCCGTGGTTCCCGGGTTCGGCGTGATGGCCGAGAATCGAGGCTACTACCTCTTCTGGGGTCCCGCCGGCCTGTGTGTGATTTGGAAGTTGAAGGTTTCGATCGTGCGGTGAGGAGAGGGTTGAACTATTCATTTTACTAGCATACGTGTCTGTATGTATGTGAGGTGTGTGATATATATATATATATGTACAATGTGTGTGTGTGTATGTATGTATGTATGTATGTATGTATGTATGTGTGTGTGTGTATATATATATAGGAATATCCACGTGAAGCTTGTAGCGTCACTTGAGGTTGCCAGTGAGAAGGATAGCAACAAGGCAGGAATAGAGGAGGTAGGCTGGATGTACTAGAGCCATCAGCTAGACTCTAGCTATGCGAAAGATGATTGACCGACCCTTCAGTCAGTAGAAGTCCATCGGATTCACCTCTAGATATAGATCTTGATTAAGCTGCTGAACCATCTGTGGCTGCATGCATAGTGGTCGAGAGTCGTCGTTCTGGTGTTGGGTTCTGAAGACCGTTGCAGATATATAAACAAGTCCGAACGGGTGGTCATCATGTTAGCTCCTGCCCTCGGACACCCACACCTATTGGTATTGTCGTTGGGGTATACATACACGGCACAGGAGTTTATCAGAGCCTTCTTCTGTCGAACTTTCCGCAGCATGTTGATTTCTGCGGTCCATGTGGGTCACGTATACCCCAGCTTCAGAGCCCTCTTCTCCTATAAACTTCGACCCGTAATGCCAGGAACTTCGATCACATTTACTTTTGTGATTTGGACCACCTTCCGACGGATCCTTAAATGGATCTGAGGTTGTTCGCTGAGGCCACGAAAGGCCGGCTTCTATTCGTGAAGAGCTGCTGGGTCAAATCTTTGCCATGGCAGGTACATAGGCCTGGAGTTTGATCCCTCAAGTTGCTTGCCTGACAGACCCCGGAGCATTTCCGACCTCCAAAGACTTGTCTCCTGCAGCTTATCGCAGAGTTGCGTTCTTTGATGCCCTCAACCGTGGTCCAAGGCGTGGATTGATAAGCGTGCCCTGCCCCCTGACGATGCTGCCATGCAGCCCAGAGTCTTTTGAAGCCCATTAGCATCATAAGGCTGTAGTTAGTTGTTCAGGGTTTAGGGTTCAGGGCCTTCCTTACTGCCGGCTCATGGCACCTTTGCCATGCCAAGCCTGCCCGTGGCTGCGTAGAGGCCGCCGCAAAGAGGCTCTCTGAAACCTTGTACAGGCCTTGTCGGCGAATTGCTGCTCATTGGGCAGGGCTTTTTCCGCGACTCCTCCAAACGCTTAGCTGCTAAGCTGTGCCTCGCTCACATGTCAAGGATACCATTTAATTTTCAGAGAACGAAGTCACAAATACCAAGCCGAGTGTCTACCAGCGGGTGAAAGCCATCTACCAGGCTCTGCCTTTCTGACAGACCACCTCGAGAATGCAGCTGTCGTTCCTTAAGCCTCTGGGCGATTCATTCTTGCAAGAAGCCCAAAAACTGTGAAGCCTAAGCCTAAACCCTCAACTCGAAGCTCCGAACCCAAAATTCCAAATCAGACTGCCCTGCCTGAGCAGCTCAGAACCTCTTTGCATGTGCCTGGACCTGCGGCGGCAAAAGATGTGCAGACATTGAAAATGAGACAGTTCAGCTGCCATTGAAGTTTGATGCGGGTGCGGGTGATTCTGCGGATTATGGTGGTCGTGGTAGTGGAGAAGGTGGCGGTGGCCCTGTTTGGTGGTCGGAGGCGACAACAGTGGCACTGCTGCTCAGGCGGATCTTTGCGGACTCTGACTGTCTGAAGTGTATGCTTGCGTGAATGCCCGTGCAATTGCTATACTGGTGATCGCGATAATGATGGCCGGAGTCCAGCAGACCCTTAGATCATTCAAAACGGCATAAAGCCTAAACCTAAACCAAGCCAGAAACCGAAAGCCTTCAGCCTTACAACCCCCACACCCTGAAGCCTACGCAGCGACAGCCAGTCACAGCTCAAAGCTTCCGCCCCTTCGAGCATCGCGAACCTCCCAAGGCCCTGAGACCTGTGTTGCTGCCGTGGAGTTCCGTCTGGTACAGCGTCCAGGTCTGTTTGAGGTTCGGGGGTAGAATCTGCCCCTCAACCTAAACCTTAAATCCTTCTCGCACCAGAGGTCGCCATGCGATTCCCCGCAGTTGCGATGCTTTACTGCCTCGCTGCTGTGCGCGGCTCCTGTCCCAATGGCCAAGAGGAGGTGGAGAACCTCGGGTTTGAGGGCTTGTGACTTTACGGTTTAGGGATGGGTGTGGCGTTTAAGGAAGAATTGTCAAGAGGTGTTCAGAGTTTGCCATTCTATTTATGAAATCATGCTTGAATTGCTTTAGCCCCAGTTGAAGCTTAGGGGATAGGCTGTGAATGCTTCATGTCTTCTGTCTATCTAGTCTGTCTGTCTGTCTGTTTGTCTGTCCGTCTGTCTGTCTGTCGATCTACCTATCTACCTATCTACCTATCTATCTATCTCTCTAGCTCTCTCTCCCGCTCTCTCTCGCGCTATTTGTAAACAGAATTTTAGAATCCTTGATATGAAGGGCCCTGCTTATGGCTTACATGTTTTAAGAAGCCTCATCAGTCTAATTAGCACGGAGTCAGATGTTCTGAGGACTGGCTGCAACGATCGGCTTCAGGCCTACCCTGAAGTAGCGCACGGAGCTTCATCTGTCGACATCAGCCAGTGTATCCAGCCATGCGACAATTACGAAAACAGTACTTGTAGTAACCACCAGAATCCCAACCAAGTCTTCATATTAATACGAGTCCGAAGCCTCCGACCCTCCAAGCATGAGCCGTACTGACAACCAGAATGGCAATAGTCACATTTTTATGTACTCTACAGTGACCAAGAAGCTCGGCAGGTCACAAAGACCTGGCAGATCAGTGCGAGCGAAGACGACTTCGAAGTGTGCTCTGGCAGGGGATTTCCAGGGAATGGGGTGCAGAGTGAGGCATGCCAGTCATTGTCGCCAGTGCAGAAAAACTCATTGCTGCGGTGGCGGTTCGAAAGCGTTTTCCATCTTCCGACCTGGATGAGGCTGACACTCAGAGGCTACGGCCTAGACTCGACCCTAACATGCCGTGATAGTTTGGAGGGCGGCATAGACTTGTTTCGCGATCATGTCACAACTGCTTTCCAGCCCTCCAGTCCTCCGGCCCTACAGTGTGAGATAGCGCTGGGCTGCTGGAGATTAGCTGGAAAAACTGGTGGGCTGGAGGACGAGGACGGGGGCTGGAAGGCTGGGGGGGAGGGGGCGTGGTGGGCAGCGGTGGGCGTTTATGGTAGGGTTGCTTAGTAAGGCAATAGGCGGTCTCTGCGAATCCTCTGTTGAGGCAACATAATAACAAAACATGACTTGATCAGCCCACTTAAGGATCTGGATTTTTTGAACATCGACGCCGTAGAGCGCTTATCTTATCCGTTATCGGAACCCTGAAAGAGCATACTACCCACAAGCTCAGGTCCCATGCCTTGATGACGGTGTCCTTGAGCGATACCGATCTCGAGCTGGGCAGCTCGACATTCTGGCTTTGAGCAATTGTAGTGTTTGAACACACATTTTATGATCTTATTTTAGTTTTGCTGGGCCCTTATGGGGGTTTGGGGTTGGGATCGTTACAGGGTTTGCACAGGGCTGTCAGAGAAGTCCTGAAAAGTTTGTTGTTTCTGTTTGAAAGGATTGTTGGTTTGCAGGGTGTATCGGTGGCTTTGCAGAGGGGCGCCATCGGCTCTTCCTTTTCCGCTATACGCTGTTGCAGAGCTTGTTGATGGCCTTTGCATAGAGTCTTCATGTGTAGCAGTGTCACAGATTAGACAGTCCTTGAAGAGAGTAGCATTCCTCAGGATTCCTGATAACTTAGCTGTAGCAAAATACATTTCCAAAGCCCTATGACGCATATTCAGCTCCGTTCAGAGATGGCCTTTGCCTTTATCTGCAACAGATAGACAGTCCCAGAAGAGAGTATACTTCCAAAGCCCTATGGAACTTTTCAGATCTGCTTTTAGGGCCTTTGTAAGGTCTTTGAAGGAACCGGTGCCTACTTTTTATCAGATCTTCGATGTGCCCCAAGCCCGAAAAGCTGAAACCCTAGCCCCTAAAATCTTGAACCCTGGGCCCTGCTTTACGGTCCTTTTGGGCTGAGTTGGGTTGGTTTTTTGGAGTTGGTGGCCGGATGGCGCGGTTCAGATGGGGCTGTAGAGTTTGGGGCTTTGGGCTTTGGGATTGTCGGTATCTAGGGCGGATACACAGAGTATGGGGTGTGTGTGTGTGTGTGGGGTTGAATGTTCAGGGCAGTTAGACTCGGTCGCCCTCCGGCCCATTTGTGGTTGCTGATGTTGTGCCGTTGCTTTCCGTCCTCCAGGTATTGACGATAGCCCGGACACGAGCAACAACATCCCGGGCAAGCAGACCATTGGCCTGATGTTCCGCAACGTGGACCTGGTGTCGGATGCACCGAAGCAGCAAGCCCAAACCCTAGACTCAACCCTAAGCCCTTAACCCTGAACCCTAATGCTGATATACCCGGAACCGTGAACCCAAACGACCCCTCGGAAGTCATGGGAGCTGGAGGCGACAATCAACTCTGCCCGTGTCGTCTTCACGGTGGAGAGCAGCCTGGCCGTCAATACTCAAAATTTTGAGCTCTTTGGTTCAAGCTTACCAGTAGCTTATTCTCCAAAGATTTAAACTTGTATTTCACAGGAGGTTGGGGGTTTGGGGGTTTGGTACTCGCTTCGGTGTTCAGCTCTCTTGGGGTTTTTAGTAGGGAAGTAAGGCACCGGCGGCTGCTGCGACGAACCCTTCGAGATCACGGCGAAGATGGCGTTGAACCCATCCACCCTGAACCTGGGTCTTCGGATGTATTGTTACATAAACTTTTTACCTTGGGGTTCCCCATATTCGTATTCTTATTTGCTTCCTAAATACTATTGGTACTCCTAGCAGTAGACCGAGCGTCATTTCCTTTTCTTGCTATTCTTGGTTTTTGCCAGTACCAATGTGATTCTCGCACTGGCCGGGGGCACGGAGTTTGCGAGCCGAGGAATGTGACGAGTCTTACGGCACCAGAAGCCTTGAACATCTACGAGAATGCATCCACGAATGCCAGCGTGACCTACGCGCCTGATCTCCACACCGTCATGGGTGCCGAGGTTGGGCTCGCTTCTCTCGTGAAAAGCATAAAGCACCAATCCATACTGACAATAAATTTTGAAGTGGGCCGATGCGAGGTCAGCACTCCGGACGTATCCGCACCTCTGAGGGAGGTCCTTGCTCAGAGCAGCTGGGGCAACTGGGTGCTGGTCATGATTGGCGACAGCAACTCTACCCGTGGACCGGCGAGCCGGGAGTCTAGGCTAATCTTGTAGATTTTTGGTAATGAGCGTTGTCTATAGTGTATTCTAACTGAGTTTCTAAATTCTCATTCTTTTCTCATTCTTACAGTGCCTGCGAAGTCGGCCCAGGAGTATGTGCCTTTCGACGGAGCGCAGCCCGCGCAGGCCGCCAAGTTGGTTGTCGGAACTTGCCAGATCCCTCAGGGGAGCACGTCTAATGCAATCCCGAGGAGGTCGTTGGGCCTGTTGCTCTTTTCGTTTGTGAGCTTTTTTGGCAGTGTGATATAATTAGAGTCAAGCCCGAGTCCCGAACAATGTTCGGACGGGTCCGACTCGCCTCAAAGCCACTACGACTTTTTCTTCAGCTCCTCGGGGCTGATGTGCCATTAAGGCATTAAGGCTCGGAAAGCAGCTTTCGTTCTATAGCCTTAGTCTGCGCCTCAAGACCCAACTGTAGCCTAACTGTAGCCTGTAGCTCAGGGAGTGTGGACTTCTACTCACTACTCGGCACCGTGATTGGTCTATCCGTCATGGCAACATCAAACCTGGTATGATGATCTATCTTCTTTTCCCAAAGCTGCCTCCCCCGTGCAAGATGCGCGAGCCCGGGACCAACTATCGCGGAGCACATGTGTTTAAACGAATTTAAGGCAGGGGCCTGAACCGTGCGCTTCGGTTGTTTTCGACTTTCAAGTATCGATGATTTAGTTGCGGTCTTCTTGCCATTGCATCGAACTACTGCTAATGTTGCATTGCATGCATGACTTGGTGCTGCCAATTTAGGCCCCTGCTTCTCTCTTTCGCCCTTGCGCCGGAGTGGGTGTTCAGCCCTCCAATACATGTGTAGCCTGGAATCTACGAAGCGCAGACCCACAGGCCTGAATCACTTCTGTGAAAAACTGCCATCAGGGTGAAGCACCAGTTGGTGCTGTGGGTTGTGTTGGCGAGCTCGTCGATGTTGGTGCTGCTGGCTGTCTGTGTTCGCATCGTTGATTGTTGTGGTCTTTTTGATTTGGATTTCGTTCGAGTTGCCGAGCTCGATGATGTGAGTGATATATTATCTGGCGAGTTGTTGCTGGCGCTTGAGTTTGTGCATGTCAGGAAGAGTAGAACCTGTGGTCATTCTAGGAAGTTTCTACTACTACGATGGTGGTGACGCACGTCCGACACGCTGATCACACCGACCACAACAAACAGTGCTAGCTCCACGGGTACGACCGCCCTATCAGCATGGCGACGTGGAGACGCTCCCACTCCGACGGTCCGACTCCGACACCTATATACTGTCACCACCACCACACCACCACCACTACCACTATGACGACGACGACGATGACTACTAGTACTACTATTACTACTACCACCGCTACTGCTACTGCTACTGCTACTGCTACTGCTGCTGCTGCTGCTACTGCTGCTGCTACTGCTACTGCTACTGCTGCTACTACTACGACTACTGCTACTGCTACTGCTATTGCTACTGCTGCTACTACTACTACTGCTGCTGCTGCTACTACTACTACTACTGCTGCTGCTACTACTACTACTACTACCACCACACTACTACTTCTACTCCAACTACTACTGCTGCTACTACTACTACTACTGCTGCTGCTGCTGCTATACTAATTACTACTGCTGCTGCCAGGTCGTCATTACCCGCACGATTACCTGATTGCTACTTCAGCGTGGGAAGAGTAGGGAATTGCGCTCTTTGCGCTTGCATACACACGGATGCAGAAGCGCTGCAGCACGTCATGGGCACTGGATCAAAGACACCGGAATCTAGCGCAGCATATTGCCGAGATGCACCGTAAGAAGCCTGCGCCAAATGGCCAGCATCCTGCACAAATGGCTCCTTTGGGGTACCTTCGCTGGGATCAGCTTCCTGCTTGCAGTGTGTTTTGCAGACTGCTGCTTCCTTGAATTTGCACATGATACAAGAATTTAAACAGCATTCTTACATGCGTGCATGCACGCATACATACACACATGCAGACGCGCATGCCTACATACATCAGTAAAACGAAGATTCGGATACAGCAAAGACTGTAGACGCCCGTGCACGCACACACACACACATATATATATATATGTACACACACATGCATGCATGCAGGCGTACATGCATACATGCACACACGTCTATACATAGGTTCCGTAGATACAGGTGAGGCAAATTTCTTCGCGCATACACGCACATGTAATACACATACATGCATTCTTGCACAGGTTCACAAAAGCATAAGCTTTTCAAGTCCTAGACTAGAAGTACCAAGCAGGGAGTGCGTACCAAGAAGCCCAAGCCTTAGTAAGATTTCTCAGCGCCAGTGTCCCCAATAAGGTCTGTTGCGTCTCAATCCCAACAACCCTGAAGGAGATAAGCACCAACTCCGCAAAAAAGATCAAATTGGAGACCCGCAGCGGGGAACCGGTCCCCAACCATCCCCAAATTCTGGTGCGAGATGATGGGTGCCAAACAACTGTAATTCCCACTAGGATGATGGGTTTTAACGCCCTAAACCCGAAGAGGGGTAACCCGAATTCTGACGAGAGAATGTGGATGGCACATCCAAGGTTCTAAGCCTTCAATGCAGATCAAGGATGTTTACCCTGAATGGGGGCGCGCCACAAAAACTGCAGATATGCATATACACATGTATACATGTATGCATG